TGATTCAAATGAAGCATTTTTTTTCTTTTAAAAACTATATTTGTAATGTGCAATAAGTAACACAATTACATTGACTTTAGTAACTGATCAAATTACACAAATTAAAAAATGTAATTCATTACATAACTGCATTCCCAAAAATCTAATCAGAATATAGTAATGCGTTACTCAGTGTCCTGATATACCTATAATTAATTTCTTTTCCGTTTTTAGTAGAAGTATAAGTAATTAAGCTGAAAATACTTTAGCAATAATAAACTGATAACGAACATTCAGAAACCATCCATGCTGTTCCAATAGACATTTTAGTTAATGTGTGAATGTGTTGTGCAATTCTTTGTGCTTTACGCAGATGAGTGGGCTTGACAAACCAGCTGTTGTGTACATGTGTGTATATGTTTATGTATATGTGTACTGTACTGTATGGAAGTATGTATTTAAATACAAAAACAAATGAACAATATGTGGGCAGCACGGTGGCGCAGTGGGTAGCACAATCGCCTCACAGCAAGAAGGCCGAGCCCCGGCTGGGTCAGTTAGCATTTCTGTGTGGACTTTGCATTTTCTCCCCGTGTTTGCGTGGGTGTCTTTCGGGTGCTCTGGTGTCCCCTACAGTCCAAAGACATGCGGTACTGGTGAATTGGGCAAGCTAAATTGTCCGTAGTGTATGTGTGTGAATGAGTGTGTATGGATGTTTTCCAGTGATGGGTTGCAGCTGGAATGGCATCCGCTGCTTAAAACATATGCTGGATAAGTTGGCGGTTCATTCTACTGTGGCAACCCCAGATTAATAAACGGACTAAGCCGAAAAGAAAATAAATGAATGAATCAACAAAATGTTAAACTTACTTAGACTTGTCATAGAATTTGTATATTGCTGTTGATCTTGTAGTGCTTCTTTTATCCTCATTTGAAAGTGGCTTTGGATAAGTGTTTGCCAAATAAATTAATATAAATTTACTCACAAAAAAAAGTGACATTGTCTTTAATACAAACTGTCCTGCAGAAGCAGCAACGGTCGCTCTGTCCACTAGCATCTATATTCCAAATATAGCATGTGTGTTTATTGGAGCTTCTGTCTGCAGATATCCAGGTGTAATGCTGTCTGTAAATCTTTTTTTTTTTTGACCACATTTTTTTTGACTAGATTTAGACTAAATTTTCCAAATAATGATCATGTCCAGCCTGCAGTTTTCTTTTTGTAACCAAATTTTTTATCAAGCTCCCTGTCTTTCACCTCAGACTTCCACTGCAGAGCAACAGTGATGCTATGAAACCGCAGATCAATATCTTGGTGAAGTGTGAACATTTTGAGGAATGTGTTTGTTGAAACTCTTAATGAAGCCTGGCCTGCTCTCATACATGCAGCTTCTACAGTTTTTATTTTTATACTGCAGGCCGGTAACACTTTTTTTTTTGCGATCAGCATTTCATCAGCTGTCAGATTGCTCACACCGTCTGCTGCTACTTTTTTCCATCCCACGGTTTTGAGTTCATTGACAGTCCCCTGTGGCAGTGAGAGAAGACTGACAAGCTGAGAGGACTTTGCCTTAGTAAAATTACAAAACTGAGAAGTGGTCATGGAACAAGCAGTTCTTTATTGTACCAAGATACATTTCACCATTATGCATTGTTTAAACATACTTAATAAATATACCAGGTCAAATTAGGCATGGTTTATTAGTGCACATATTTTAAAATGTTATATGTTTGGTTTCATAATGAATACTGGAGTTATTCAGAACTCATGATTGTTACCATAATGATCTTCAGAAGTGTAAAACTGATTTTATTTTAATATATTGTTTGTTTTTGTCAATGTATAATAGTGATAACCATAAACAAATGTATTCTATTTTGAATTTATGATAGATATATCTATTAATTCATCTTATAATCATATTTAGTTTGCTTTACAAAATGACCAAGGGCTTCAAGAGGAAATTATATCAAAACAATAAAAAAAAACCACAACCTATAAAATCAAGCTATAAAGTGAAATCAAGTAAAAAAAATCAAGATGTTTCTAACCTGATGCTTTTTAGTATCTTGCACAGCATATCTATCTATCTATCTATCTGTCTGTCTGTCTGTCTGTCTGTCCGTCTGTCCGTCTGTCCGTCTGTCCGTCTGTCCGTCTGTCCGTCTGTCCGTCTGTCCGTCTGTCCGTCCGTCCGTCCGTCCGTCCGTCCGTCCGTCCGTCCATCAGGGCTGCTCGATTATGGGAAAAATCATAATCACGATTATTTTGGTCATAATTGTAATCACGATTATTCAAAACGATTATCAGTTGAAGTCAAAATTATTCGTCCTCCTGTGAATTTAATTTTATAGATAAATATTTCCCAAATTATGTTTAACAGGTTTTTTTTTTTTTACAGTATTTCCTATATTTTTTTCTTCTGGTGAAAGGCTTATTTGTTTTGTTTCAGCAAGAATAAAAGCAGGTTTGAATATTTTGAAACCTATTTTAATAGCTGGATATTATTAGCCCCTTTAAGCAATATATATATGTTTGATTGTATGCAGAAGAAACTTCTGTTATACAATGACTTGTCTATTTACCCTAATTAAGCCTTTGAATTTCACTTTAAGCTGAATACTAGTATCTTAAAAAACATCTAGTAAAATATAATGTTCTGTCATCATAGCAAAGATAAAAGAAAACAGTTATTAGAAATTAGTTATTAAATCTGTTATGTTTAAACTGTGCTTTAAGCATCTTTACTGTATTTTTGATTTTATTATTGATTAATAGTAAAAACAGTCGGCAGCAGCAGGAATACCGCACGGTCTCTTTAAGAATAGTGCGGCTCTGATATCTTTTGATTCTCCACTTGTTAGTTTATTACACAAATGAGGGTTAATATGAATAATCACTAAACACCGCGCTCTGACACAAGTGTGCATTTATTTCACCATTAAAGTTGTCACATTAAGATCGCGTTAGATGTGTGTGTGCTCTGCTGTCCGAGGCTAAGCGTGGCGCGCGCGCAAACACACACACACACACGCTACCTGTCCGAGGCTAAGCACGGTGCACACACACACAACAGCACGTGCTCTTTTGCGCTTTTAAAAATATGAAAGATGCGCATCCCGTGCTGCAAAAGTTACATTACCGCACATGCTTTCAGTCATTTTCACGTGGAACTGAGCTTTGCAGAGGCAAAGAGTTTTCACACGTGTACAACTGGAATGGGGGCGGTACGTAACGTGATGGAATAATCGATTATCTCGATTAGTGGCTTTTCATAATCGTTACAAGCCAAAATCGAAATCGGATTTTCGATTAATTGCACAGCTATCTGTCTGTCTGACCGTCCGTCCGTCCGTCCGTCCGAAGATTGCAATCTAGATTCGACCCCCTACAAGATCTTAATCCAGCATTTCTATGATTCTGTTAATCATATTTTCAGGTTCAGGATAGAAGCAAAGGCAGCCACATGTCTTCACATTGTTTTACATACGTTGTTCAGCAACCTGGACACCAATAGTGTTGAACTGGTGCTGAACGACTCACATACTGTATTTAAAAGGTATATTTTACCCAAAAATGTCATTTCTGTCTTCATGTAATGATGTATTCAAGGCCGCAGGTAATAGAGTTGTAAATAACACTCAGTTTGTGGAACAGAGTGATCGTTTTGGAGCCGCATGTGAGGTATAAACCGCACTTAGCAGATAAAATGAAACCGAAAGCGTGTAGATCATTTAAATAATTATATCACATTAGAGTTATGATTATGACAAGCTTTTTGATATATTTTTTTCTTTTGTAGCGAACACAAACTGTTGTACATGTGAATTGATCTTTAACAGTGTCACTAATCTGTCAATGACAAATGTCTGATTTATGTATATATATGTATATGTAACTCACCTTTGCACTGACTTTACCCTAAATGTAAAGTAAAGAATGTTAAAATGAAGAGAAATAGACAATGGCATTGGAAAAATAGTGACAGGCCGCTCCTGATGTCACACCCTTGGTTTCTGGTTTTGCTTTATAGAAAACGGAAACCCAAAACACATTTTATTGTGTAATATAATAGCACACTAAAATTTATTTAGTGTAATAAAATGTGATCATGACTAGAAGAAGCAGTCGACTCACTGTGGCATAATAAAAGCTTTGCTGCTCTATAATTACGCCACATGGGTTTCTCATTAGCAGTTGTTGCAGCGCTCTTGGTTCGCTTTGACTGCTTTCAGCTTTAGGGAGTGATCACAAACACTGTTTTAAGTTCTTAAAATGCAAGGAGCCTATGCTTTTTCTTTGACTTTAGAATAGAGCAGTGTTCTGCACTTTTTATGTTGTGTTGCTCTGTAACCACTATATATGTTCTGAAACACTTGATGTTAAAACGCTTGATGTCCGGTACTTTTTTCACAATTGACTTTTTAACCGCATCCACACAGAGCACTCTGTCAAAAACACAAGGTAAGGCAGGCGCAGAATGTGATATGCCTTAGGTGCATAAAAAGCTCGCTGTCAGTATAAAATAATTTTAAAAAGACTCCTCTCCTTGCAAAAAATGTGCTCAGTGTTATTGGTGCCTTACTAGGCTTCATCCTACTATAAGTCTTCAATATTTTAGGTAACTCATGAACATGATAACTGCAGGAGTCCTGTATGATGTAACGAAGACCACAACATGATTCCACACTCAGTAATGGCACCATCAAACTATGCCATTTTTTTTTTTTTTTTTTTGTGAATATGTACTCTTGAATTGCGAAAATTGCTTACTGTTCCTTTTAAGGGGTGTTTATTTTTTTTTATTTATTTATTTTTTTTTTTGCTTGTTTTAGTTGGGTTTGATAGAATGTGTAAGGGGTTTAGTGAAAGGTAATTTGGTCATCAGCAGCTTAATTCAAATTATAGATGTACTGTTTCATAGATGTACTGTTGAATTTATTGTACATGAGCTCATCACATTTGACCAGGGAACAATGTTATGCCTGAGTATTAATGTGTATTTTTCTGTGATCTGCAGGTTTCTGATAAATTTGCCTTCAGCTTGTTTGATCTGGACTGGGATGTTTTTATGCAGCACATTGATGGCGCCGTCAATAGAGTTCCTGCTCTGGAGCAAACTGGAATCAAATCCACTGTCTGCGGTCCAGGTATTGTATATAGGCTACATTGCCTATATTATATGTTTCTAAATCTGTCCAGTTTATTTTTTTCTGAATCTCTGAAAAAGCTGTTAGGTAGTTTTAAATAACTAAATATTTAATCAAATTGAATTATTGCAGTCTTGACACTGCGCGTTTATGAATCACTATGAAGTAGGACTGACTCATAGGAGTTAAAGTAAGAGTCTCTTGCTGGGGAATCGAATTACACCAGTGATGTTACAAGTATTTAAATTTAGTAAGTTTTTTTTTATTTCTTCATGAAGCAAACTTTTAGACTTAATTGCTAAAAAGATAATAGCTCATGAGAGTAATCCTTTTAGGAATGAAACTACATAGCTGCAGTACATGTTTCTGAGTCACTGAAAAGAACTTCTTTGTAAAAATAATCTGTTCAGGGACAAAGTGAAATTTTTAATGCTGCATGTTTTTGAATTAGCAAAAGATATTTTGCTCATAGGAGATATCCGTGGGAATCAAATGTGTTTTTGAATCACCGTTTGGGAAGTGAATAATTAAATAATTTGAAAGAAAATAACATTTTGTTCTTAAAGGGCGCCTATAATGAAAATCTACTTTTATAAGCTGTTTGAACAGAACTGTGTGCATGTATAGTGTGTCCACAGTCATATTAGTGTGATATAAACCCAGCAAGTCTCTTTTTTAAAATTAGGACGGTGATCCCAGTGATTTTTGAGGCCCTCTGCAACATGACGTAGGAGTGCGGTTTTAAAACATAATATGCATACACATGTCCACAGAACATTTTTTTTTGTGAATAAACAGGGATTAAAATGTTTGGTACAATGATTTTTATAAGTTTTAAAAGTTTGAAACATTTTTAAAACAGAGCATGTTTATAATATAGTACAGTAATATATACGGTAAAATAGCTGTGTAATTCTTAACCGCTATAATCACCATGGGTGCATGGTGTCGGTTAAATAATTAATGTGTGTCTACTGCAAACGGCGAGACTCATCATTTCAGAAAGGCTTGAATAAACCACAAATTCATCATATAAACTTAATTTATATTTTTGACTAGTGACCTTGTTTTAATTATTATTATTATTATTATTATTTTTTTTTTTAAAGTTTATTTTACTGTGCAGGGCTCGAAATTAGCTTTTTTTGCTTGGTAGCACCGAAGCTCCCAACTTCAAATATTTAGGTGCACCAAAAAATAAATAAAATTAATAAATAGGAGCACCTGAAAAAATGTAAGAGCACCCATTAAAAATGAATAAGCACCATTGCAAATTGTATTTTGATGGATTTATTGTATTTGAAAACAACTTCAATTAGGAAAAACAAAAACCAGAAACTATTTAACTAATGCTGATGACTTATTAACATTTATGTGCAATAATTCCAAAATGCATGTCTCATAATTATTAAATATAAATGATGATGAAAATGACAATAATACTAACAATGAATTACATTTCTCATTATCATGCTGACTTAAATATCCTTTAATGCGAGTTATCTGCTATAAAAAGTCTGTTACTTTATGAAAAATGAATTTATGGTTTGCATAAAACAGAAATGAAGCATTGCAGTAAAAAATATTTATTTTGCACTATTGTTTATATATATATATATATATATATATATATATATATATATATATATATATATATATTTATATATATATATGTATATGTATATATATATATGTATATGTATATATATATATGTATATGTATATATATATATGTATATGTATATATATATATGTATATATATATATATATATATATATATATATATATATATATATATATATATATATATATATATATGTATATGTATATATGTATGTATATATGTATATATGTGTGTGTATATATATATATATGTAAATTTAATAAATAATATTTTTGCTACAAAACACAGGGCTCGAAATTAACTTTCTTACTTGGTAGCACTGGTGCTCCCAACCTGAAACATTTAGGAGCACCAGAAAAAATTTAGGAGCACCCACCAAAAATTTATGATATTGACAAGTTGTATATTAAGGGATTTATTGTATTTGAAAACAGCATCAATTGGGACTAACAAAACCCAGAAACAATTATCTAACTAATGCTGTGATGATTTAATATTTGTGCAATAATTCCAAAATTAATTTTGAATAATTATAAAATATTAATGATGACGATGATGACAATAATACTAACAATGAATTATATTTCTCATCATCATGCTGCCTTGAATGTGCTTTAATGTAAGTTATCTGCTATATAAAGTCCTGCTGTTACTCTATGGAAAATAAATTGATGGTTTGCATCAAACACAAATGAAGCATTGCAGTAAGAAATATTTATTTTGTACTGCTGTTTTTATATGCATGTCAATTTAATAAATACTAGCCTATTTCTGCTACAAAACAAACGAAATAATATAATAAATCATTCAATTCAATGCTGAAAGGTGCAAAGCAGTCATCAATAATTAATAGAAAAATAATATACACCTCAAGAAAGAACGGACAAAAGAAAGGAGAAAAAGTCTCACTTTTAAAAGTTTTGGTTTCGGTTCGTGTCGTTTTAATGCTCAGCCTCGTTACGCGCTGAATTTCATTTTTCTGTGTTTGTGGAAAAGCATGCGAGTCAGCCGGTCCAATATGAGGGGGGCAGAGCAGGATTCTCCCAAAAACCACCGACGCAATACTGTTCTTTGTTATAACCCGCATCAGTTTAAACGCAGTAAAGGCGAGCTTCTTTGGCGATGGTGTTTTAGCGGACATTTGCGCTGTTGCAGCCTGATCTCACGAGGAAACGTATGAAAAAGTTACGAATTGCCGTGAGATTGTGTTGGCTGAACACACAGCGCATGCAACGCATCAAGTTTCAGTGTACTTTTCACTCTTCAGCAGTTTGCATTCCCCGCGGTCACAAAAGCTCACACAAGTGGTGGTCGCTGCAGAGCCATCCAAAAGCTCCCTCCCTGTTATCTGACAGCGGAAAGTCTTGAGTGATTGGCAGCTAATATGAACCAATATAGCGGCAGGGAAGAGCTATTCAGCACGTTTTTAGAAAAAATAAAAATAAAAAAAAACAGGTCGCACTCCAACCTAAATATTCAGTCGCACGAATGCTCCCAATATATATTATGAGGTCGCATAGCTTAAAATTCGGGCGCATATGCGACCAAAATGGTCGCTATTTCGAGCCCTGAAAACATACAAAATATTATAACAAGTATTTCAATTCAAGGCTGAAAGCTGCATAACAGTTTTTTAGTTAGTAAGTAAATAGAAAAATAACATAAATCTCAAGAAAGAATGGACAAAAGAAAGTATGAAAAGTCTCATTTCTACCACTCTTCAAAAGTTTTTGATCGGGTTTGTATCTCGTTATCAGCTGATTTATTTTTTTGTGTTTGTGGAAAGCAGGCGAGTCAGCCAGACCAATATTTGAATAGGCAGAGCAGGATTCTCGTGATGACCTCCGGTGCAAAACCACCCTTTGTCATAAGCCGCAGTTTCAGTTTATAAAGGCAAGCTTCTTTGACGATGATGTGTACAATGATAGATTTTACATTTAGCGGACATTTGTGCTGAACACGGAAAAACCAAAACGCAGCTAATTTGCATTTAAAGCCACAGGCTATAAAAACAGCTACACTTTACTCAGACACCAAAATGAGCAGATTCTGGAGGCTATAATAAATAATCTGATGGTTTTTTTTGGCTAAAACTTTACAGACACATTCTGGAGACATCAACGGCTTATCTTAGATCTTGCAAAAGGAGTAAAATAGGTGCCCTTTAAATCAGTTAGAGTACATTTGAATGCTATTGTTTTGAAATTAAAAAACTGAATCATTGTTAATGCTTATTTTTCTTTAAAAATCACTAAAAAGAATCTACTTATAATTGTCGCTTTTGAGGATTAAATGACTTTCTTTCCCTCTCTGAATCTCAAGTCATAATTAGAGCTGCACAATTAACTGAAAAAAGATCGCGATCTCGATTCGACCCCTAGACGATCTTTTATCCAGCATTTCTACGATTCAATCATATTTCAAGTTCAAGAGAGAAGCAAAGGCGGCTGCACAAGTCTTTTCATTGTTTCACACACACGTTGCTCAGCGACATCGACACCTCCAAATGATGCTAAAAGAGTCACATACTGTATTTAAAAGGTATAATTCACCTAAAAAATGTTATTTTTGTCTTCATATAATGCTGTATTCGCCGGGAAATCACACGTGATGTGAGCTGCTGATTGCGGGCGCGCTCCCTATAGACGCGCGCACGTGCGTCTACTTTAGTGATCAAAATCTGCATAAGCTGTGAATAATAGGTAATAAAGTTGTAAATAATATTCAGTTTGTGGCACAGAGTGATCATTTGGGAGCCGCGCGTGAAGTATGGACAGCACTTAGCAGTGAAAAATGAAACCAAAAGCATGCACATCATTTAAATAATCAAATCGCATTTTAGAGTTATGATTGCGACAAGCATTTGATTTGTTTTTTCTTTTATAGCGAACACACAGTTGTGCATGAAAATAAATGTTTACAGTGTCGGTATAACTACTCTAGCCTATATAATGTTGATTTTACCAGTGAATCAAATGGTCTAATAATGTTCTCAATGACAGATTGCAAGCATAGGCCTATATCTCAAACATAATTCAACATCAGAATTATTATAAGTAGAATAGAATTATTTCTAGAAACCAACAGATCTACACATAATATTAATATTGTTGTTTTACCATATGTTTGAGAAAAAACAATAATCTCATATTAAGCTTTTTTTTTTTAAATCTACAGAATCGTGATCTTTATTTTAAGCAAAAAAATCGTGATTCTTTTTTTAGCCAGAATCGTGCAGCTTTACTCATAATGTTGTTCTGGAATCAAACTACATTTGTCACACTACGATTTTTAATCCCACTAAAGAACCAACTCATTCACTCAAAAAATGAATTTGCTGCTAGTTCATACTAGGGTTGGGCATTTAAGCTATAA